AACAACAACAACAACAACAATTCTTTCAGAGCAACTTGAACTTCTTCCTTCATCACCACAGGCTCTTGCTCATACGTTGTTTCATGAAATTCTTCTGTGTCAGCCAATTCCTTTTGGTACGGTAACTCTGTATACTCCTTCCATCTTCTTCTAATGCCTCTTGGATCATTTAACACTCTGCCCAAAGCATCCTTAAGTATTGCCACTCATGGCTTGAATTTACTCTTCAATTCCTTCAGTTTAAGAAATGCTGAGCAAGTTTGGGCCTTTTTGATTTTCTGACTCCAGCTTTTTTGCACATTTCATTATAATACCTTGCTTTGTCTTCCTGAGCTGCCCTTTGACATTTTCTGTTCAGCTCTTTAATTTCTTGATTTCTTCCTTTAGCTTTAGCTTCTCGGTACTCCAATGTAATCTTCAGAGCCTCATCTGACATCTATCTTGGTCTTTCCTTACTCTTCTTCCTTTGTAATGATCTTTTGCATTCTTCATGGATGATATTCTTGATATCCTCCCACAGTTCATTTGGTCTGCACTCATTGGTGTTCAGGACCTCAAACCTGTTCCTGAGATGGTTTTGAAATTCAAGTGTGATAGTCTTAAGGTCAAATTTCAGTTTCTGTTTACTTAATTTTATTTTCTTCAACTTCATTTCAGCAGTAGAGATAACCAATTGAGGCTTTGGCAGTTGCAGCCTCTCAAGGAAGGTCAAGTTCAAACAAAAGATTGTGAACCAATAACCTAACTTAAAACTTAAGAAATTAGAAAGAGAAGAGCAAAGCAACAAGAAGGAAAAAGGTAGCAAAGTTGAGAGCAAAAATAAATCAAATAGAAAAACAATAGAATTAATGAAACGAATAGATATTTTTCTTAAAAGATTAATGAAATAGACAATCTTTAGCTAGACTGGCAAAGGAAAAAAAGACAAGATGCTAATGTCTAAAACCAGAAATTAAATTGGAGATATTATGACTGATATTACAGAAATAAAAAGATCATAAGAGAGTGTATTATGAGCAATTGTGTGCCCCCAAATTAGATAATGTAGATGAAGTGGACAAATTAATAGAAACTCCTTATATTGACCCAAGAAGTAATAGAAGGGTTTGGGTACAAAACAAATGAAAAGATTGAATCAGTAGCCAGAAATTTTCCAAGAAGAAATATCCTTGACCAGAAGGAGAATTCACCAAAGCATTTATAGACAAGATGACCTCAATCCTCCTAAACGTAAAATTTAAAAAAAAAAAAGCAGCAGAAGAGACAACACTTACCACCTCTTCTGAAGCTAGCATTACTCTGATACTAAAGCCAGGCAAAGGTAACGCTGGAAAATGGCAGACCAGTATCCCTTTTGAATATAGTTGCAAAAATCCTTAACAAAATACTAGCTAATTGAATCAAAAAGCACACTAAGAGGATTATACATCACAATCAGATTGGATTCACTCCAAAATAAAAGACTGGTCCAGAATTAGGAAATCACTCAATGTCATGCACCATATTAACAAATAAAGGAGAAATAGGAACACTCATCCATTGATGGGGAGAATGCAGAATGGTAGAGATTTTGTGGGAAATAATTTGGTGGTTCCTCAAAAAGTTAAACATGGGATTACCATATGATCCAGTAATTCTACTCCTGGGTGTACCCAAAAAGAAATGAAAGCAGACATGTGTACCAGTGTTTATTCAGCACTGTGTACAATAGACAAATGTGTCTATCAACAGATTAATGTAGTACATACATACAACAGAATATTACTTAGTTATAAAAAGAAGTGAAATCCTGGTACTTACCACCACATGGATATACTTTGAAACAACATGTTAATATAAGACCAGTCACAAAATGGAAGATATTCTAGAACTCT